CTCTCTCTCGCTCTCCTTTTTTCTCTATATGGATTTATCTTTTTTCGTCGTGCCTCTGTCGCAACGATTCCCAATTCTTTCCTTCCGCCGCCATATTGTATTATAATCTGTATTTTTCTTTCTTTGTTCCAAGTAGCGCAACATGCAGACAGCGCATGCGCCATTCGTGAACCACAGCTGCTGCACAACTACTACTGCGACCATTGGCTGAATCATCAACATCCGATTCAATCCACACGTGAAACAACTTGCTACAGTTCTTCGAAGGAAATCGCTTCTTGTCGACAGGGAGAATCTTGTCGACCGAAAAATTTCGCCGACAGAAAGAGCTTGTCGGCAGGCTAATTCTAGTTGGCAGGAAAATTCTGTCAGCAAAAACATTTTATGGAAAAAAAATCTTGTCAGCATAAAGATCTCGCCAATTGAAAAATATTGCAGGAAAATACTAGTGGCGGAAAGGATCTATCAGTAAATTCTCGTCGGCAGGAAAATACTAGTGGCGAGAAGGTTCTATCGGTGAAATCTCGTCGGCAGGAAAAATACTAGTAGCGGGAAGGTTCTATTGGTGAAATTTTGTCGGCAGGAAAATACTAGTGGCGGGAAGGTTCTATCGGTGAAATCTCGTCGGCAGGAAAAATACTAGTAGCGGGAAGGTTCTATTGGTGAAATTTTGTCGGAAGGAAAATACTAGTGGTGGGAAGGTTCTATCAGTAAAATCATATCGGCAGAAAATCTCGTCGGCAATAAGATCTCGTCGGCAGCATGTCGCCTACGATCGCCGCATTTCTCGTGCTGCTTATGAGCGGCTACGCGGCCGAGACGGACAACAACACGACAAGCGGCCTCATGACGACGACAGACGTTAACCTCATCTGTCCGCTGCAGTGCCGCTGCGACTTCGCCACACGCGCCGTCGACTGCTCGAGCAGCAACCTCACGAGCGTCGATTGGCTTCTCCAGCTGCTGCCGACAAACTGCGCGCACCTCAACGTGTCGCACAACGGCGTGCAGACGCTGAACGTCGACTACAGCGCCACGCTGCTCGTCGTCGACGCGTCGTACAACGCCATCCAGACGCTGTTTCCGCTGCGACTGCCGTCGCTGCGCGTGTTGGACCTCAGCCATAACCGCCTCGACGTCATCAACGCCGGCCTCTTCGCCGGCCTCGTCAATCTGGAGGAGCTGCGGTTGCACGGAAACGGTATCTACACGTTCCACCACCAGTCACTCGACATACCGAACCTGCGCTCGCTGAATCTCGCGAGAAACCGATTGACAAGCGTCGACGAGGTCGCCTTCCATAAGCTGCAGCGACTCGCCGAGCTGCGCCTGTCCGGAAACTTCGTCAGCCGACTGCCGAACAACGTCTTCAAGCTGCAGCCTAGTCTCGAGACGCTATCCGTCGACAACAACAAGTTGTCGCGCATCGAGAAGGACGCATTCCGCGGTCTGCGTCGGCTCGCGCACCTCGACGTGTCGCACAACAACCTACGCTTCCTGCATCCAGGCACGTTCGAGGACAACCACGCGCTGTCCAGTCTCGACCTGAGTGGCAACCCGCTGCGAGAGATCGCCGCAGGTACGTTCCACGGTCTCAACCTGCGCACGCTGCGGCTCTGCGAACTGCCGCTGCTCGCCACCGTCGAGAACAACACGTTCTCCGACCTGCGCGTGCTCGAGGAACTGCGCTTGACGAACAACGAGAATCTGATGTTCGTCAGTCCGGCGGCGTTCTCGAATGTTCCGCAGCTGCAGCGGTTGTTCCTACACGGAAATCAACTGCGAGCCGTCAATCGCGAGATCGTCGCCCGGCTGCCGTCGCTGCGGCTGCTGACGCTGTACGACAACGCGCTGCGATGCGACTGCAACATCTACTGGCTGCGGCGCGAGATCGAGTATCGCGAGCTGAACGTCACCATCGGCAACATCAGTGGCACGGCATGCACGCAGCCGAGCGTCATCCCCGTCGAGCGACTCAACCTCGGCGGAGTTCCGCGCAAGTGCGCGCCGACGATCGTGCCGCTGTTCAACGCCAGCCGACGCGGAACACTCGGCGAGACGTTCCGCGCTAACTGCAAGGCCGTCGGCGTGCCGACGCCCGAGATGCACTGGACGTTCCCGCATCCGCCGGACACTGCTGCTACTGCCGGCGGGAGCGAGCGCGTCCTGCACGAAGACGGTTACCTGATCGTCAAATACCTGCAGCTGTACGACAAGGGCGACTACCGCTGCGTGGCGACGAACCGAGTCGGCAGCGACGCCGTCACGCTGTCGCTGGCCGTCTATAACATGGGCATGTACATCTTCCCGATATCGGCGAAGCCAGACGACCTGACCGTCTCCTGGAACGGCACCGAGATCATCTTCTATCAGTACCAGCTGCTCTACCGCGAGGCGGCGCAACCGGAGGCGCCCTTCCAGCAGATCAACGTCAACTACCCGATGCGCATGTACACGATCAGCGACCTGACGCCGGCGACGCTCTACGACGTCTGCATCTCGATACTCCGCCAGGGCGCGTCGGTGATCGTCAACTGCAACCAGATGCGCACGCGCGACGAGTCCTACCGTTCGGTTGGCATCGAGCGCACCTACGTCATCCTCGTCTCGATACTGTGCACGTTCGGCGTGCTCTTCCTGATCGGCAGCGTCACGTGCGTCGGCAAGGTGTGGTCGCACTGGAAGCGGCGCCGCCGGAAGGAGCACGACAACATGTCGCAGATGTTTCTCGGCAGCATCGACAGCATGTCCGACACGCTGCCGATCACTTACGAGAATCGCTGCACGGAGACGGTGTCGAGCGACGACGACGACGACGAGCCGTGCAGCGACGCCGAGATGAGCGAGTTCAGCGTCTAATATATATATTAAGAGTACATATAATAATGTCGATGTCGATAGAGATGTCGATTATGTACTCTTGATATATATATATATATATATATATATATATATATATATGTGTCTCTCCTCTTTCTTTCTCGTCTCTCTCTCTTCTCTCTCTCTCGCTATCTCTCTCTCTCTCTCTCTCTCTCTCTCTCTATATATATATATATAGAGAGGGAGAAGAGAGAGAGAGAGAGGAGAGAGAGAGAGCGCGAGAGAGCGAGAAGAGAGATTATATAGATACAGACAGGCACACACACACCACACACACACACACACACACACTATATATATATATATATATATATATATCAATATTATAGACATATATTCATGAAGAAGGGAAAGGGAGGATCCTACATACGTTCGGGGGCTGACATCCATCCAGCGATCTGACATCGTCGCGATGAACGACGCTGCCCTTATTTCTCGATGTCAGGATATTCACTTCACGTATGCTACTATCACAGAGCGCGTACAAGAGCTTCTGTAGCATCGGCGAGTAACGATCCCTGCCGGCATGTGTGCATAAATGAAATGGATATATCGAATCGAAGAGCACCGTGAAGATCACGCGGAATTGCGGGGGAAAAGGATTTCGTACACGCGTCACGTTCTACACATAATGATGCATATATATATATATATATATATATATATATATCCTGAGTATTCGATAAAGTGTATCAGTGTTATCGGACGAAATATCACGTTGACCTCGTTCGCCACGGTGTCACTTATTCCCTAATGTCTTACAATTCGTGTATGATATTTTGTTGTTTAGGCGTGTCCGACATAGACATTGGTTGCGTGCGTGATGCATGCGCTTGAAAACATGTCGCTATCATACCAGATATAGTTCATAATTCGTGATGATCGCGTGAACACAAGCGCACCCGTCACGGCCGCCATTTTGCATACGTCATCTTCTTGTAACAACTGGAATCATCGGCTTAGGCGCGTGTCCGACACACGTGCAGCGAAAATGTTCATATGTCGATTACTTACTGAAAATTCATGTGAATTTGAAAGCATGTGGGAGCAAGGAACCACGAAAAATTAGGACAGTGTGATATGCTGAACGATAGGGTTGATATTAGTTGCTAAACGCCAACGGTATATATGATATAAGCTACGTGTGTAAGTCAGTCGCCAGAGTTAGTGTGATCCTGTATAGAGTGTCAGGTGTATATATGTATGATACGTTGACGGTCACGCCCCGTTAGTCGGGTCCGATATGAAGGTCGTCCTATTGTATAGACAGTGACGAGAATTTATTCCCTATTTTTGTGGAAATGGTATTGTCTGGAGTAAGTGAGTGCATTATGTCGTATCGTAAAGTAATTTTCGGTGTATTTACCGACGAACCGGGTTCCTAACAGAATGTGGTCGTTTTGTGTCCTAGCCATATAGAAGTAAAACATGATGCTCGTCGTATTCCTATTATAATAATATATATTCGTCATGAAATAAAAATCAAAATAATCGTTAAATTATGTTTTTTTGTATACCGTACATGTTGTATAAATAAATGAATCAATAAATGAATGAACCGACGTCATTTTGCCAAAATTTGATCGAACAGTTACGAATTTGTCGTCCACAGAAATTTAAATTACGACGTCGGCGAACAGTGTTTAACCGCATAAAGGCCGAACGTGCTAAACTACACACTTGGGAATCGGAGATGAAAATGTTCATTACTGTTTTTCGTTGCACCGATGAAAATGAATTAGGAGCAGCAGACTCCGAATCGACGTTTGACCGACTTTTAAATGGGAAATTAATTGATATCCACTGCTGATGTCGCACGCTTAGAACTTCACATTGACAATTTCTATCGATCGCTTTACGAAAAAAATGAGATGATTGAATACAGATATCGAAGATCGTTTTCGAAAAATTATCACGAAATTTTCAACAAGCTAAGCTCTCGACTCAACAAGATAAACACGAAATAAGAAAGAAAGCGGTTAGGAATACCGAGTTAGAGGGAGAGAGGGGGGAGGATTATCAGAGAGCGAGAGTGAAAAGAACTATATAGACAAAAGGAGGGTGAAGGGAGAATTTCTCTATATTTAGGTGTGGGTGTGTAACTGAGAGATGTACGTGCGTGCGTGTGTGTGTGCGTGCGTGCGTTCGTGCTTGAGTGTGTGTGCGCGGGCGTACGTGTATGCATTTGCGTGCCTCTATGTGGAGACAGAGAGAGGGAGAGAGATATACATAGAGAAAGACAGATCAGGCAGAGAGAGAGAGAGAGAGAGAGAGAGAGAGAAGAGAGAGAACGAAAAGAGGAACTGAATTAAACAGAGCGAGCAAGGGAGAGGGAGGGAGCGGCAGAAAAGGGACTAAACGTGTGCGTGGGAGAGAGCGCGAACACTACTGTAACACAAACGCGCCGACGATATACTCAGCTGATATAGTGCATCAAATATTGACAATCAAATATTGACGTGCCAAATTTGAGAGACCGACGTGTGCATGCGGTCGGCTTGAATTTTGTAGCACCAATTAATCCCCCTCCGCGGGAGCATCTCTGCGACCACCCTGATGGAATTCTGCGTCGTAGAATGCAGGATATTACGACTGTGTGCTGTGGCGAACGCCAACTGTATAACATGATTATCTTTCCTCGTAGTCTACGGGTTCGATCGAGAGGCTGCCAGCAGCCATACAACAACGGCGTGCGGTTGTAATATTTCATATTCTCCTCTTTCGCCTACGATTGCCCACTCGCCCCTTCCTCTGCTTCGCTGGCTGTTCCTCTCTTCCTTTAGCATAGGCCCTAGCCTCTAGCGGTTTGGCCTTCTCGTGTTCTCTTTTTATTTATTGGACGTCGTCATGTTTGTGGCGTCTAGGTAAATATAGTTTCAATCAGTCTTCACCTTTCCTTTAATCAATCAACTTTGAGTTTCTTTCTATAGATGTCTGCGTACGTCTGTGGGCACCCCGTGTACGCGCGTGCGTGTGTGTATGTATATATATGTGGGAGGGGAGGGGGGGTATGCAGACGTCTATGTGTTTACGTGCGCGTGTATGCATGGGTGCTTGCATGGGTGCACGCTCGAATAAACTCACGTATACACGAGGTGAGTGCGACCTCCTCACCTAGAGTAAACGCTAATTGTTCACCAGCCTCAGGAAACGAGCGCAGCGCATGCGCATTAAGCTACGATATGTTCCTCTGATGTTTCGCAGCAGCCACTGCGCGCGCATGGCCTCTGACGTCATCGCATCCACGTCTTCGTACGACTCGGCACGAGATCGGTGCAATTTCCATAACTTGTGTTTATCGGGGCGTCTTGTCAGAAAACTTAATTTCGCCTGCCATTTAATTTTCGTATTCGCCCGGTTCAGGCGCTGCGAGGCAAGAGCTGCGTCGTTAGCGTTCTGCGTATCCTCTAATTGGCTCAGGAAAGGTGAGCATGTTGGTACGAGCAACTGATGAGACACGAGATTTAATTATTAAGCTCTGCCGACTACCGCTGAGGCCACTTGTGTGGCGAAGAGATTTCCAGCCTGCGTTAGTGATCGCGGATGGCGGCTGTTTTGCCTAGTGGGATTGGCAATGTAATAGCGAGCGACAAGCAAAGTGTATTAGCGATCGTCAGGCTTCGCACGAATGCAACGCCGCTGGCGATCGTCAATAGATGGCGCGCGCGTGTGCTTGTCCCGAGCTCCCGTCCCCTCGGCGCAGCGGTACGGTAGGTGGGTGGGATTCTTGTCAGAATTGGTTTTAGTAAATGTGCAAGAGTAGTCGCATCGATCATCGGAGTGAGCTCATCTACGTTTGAAAGCTCGCGGGAAAGCATGGAGGAGAGAGGTTCGGGTTTACGTTTATTGATGGCTACATATATATATATATTATACCAAGAGTCCATAATAGAAAATTTTATAATTAAATTATATATAATTAATAAATTATAATTATAAATAAAATATTTAATTTTCAATTATGGACGCTTGATTATACCCACACGTGTGCGAAAAAAACGCGCTCTGTGGCTCGTGCTTGCTCAGGCACGTGCACACGCACTTACATACGCTCGCCTGCGCATGCACACGTATACCTAGATGTGGGATGACGCGAAGGATGTTTTGCTGTGTGTGTGTGTGTGTGTGTGTGTGTGTGTGTGTGTGTGTG